GATTTTGTATGTATTTGCTTCTGCGCTTAAATGAAAAAAATAATTACAGTAATTAGTTCATTATTTGAAAGAATAAGTTTTTAAGTCATCATGGCGGTAAAAAAGAAAGCTTTGGGATTTTTTATAGAAAACGCAAATCAAAAATGGAGAGAGAGGATAAAAAAATAAACATTGATTAAATTTATTTATAGACTATATTTTAGAATATATTTATAGACTGGAAAAATAAGATCCAAACGATAACCAGTATTAATTCTAGATAAGATACGATAAAAGAGTGAATTTATTACAATTAACTTTGTTAATAAATACTAAATAATAATAAGTTAAAGAGATAATAGATTTGTTTAAGCCTTAATAACCCTTTGTTTAAGCCTTAATAACCATTGTTTTCTATTTTTATAATTATTTTTTTTTGATGTTCGGTGTACTTTTAACTATAATTAAACTTTAAACCATAATTGTACTCTAAGTAACATAAGGAGTAAATTCACAGTCCTAAGATTTAAAAGACATTCTTGATGAAGCAGTTGAAGCTATATCTTTTTCTTTACAAGAGCGGTTTAATTTACAACCAAGTACCAGTAAAAGTATATCAACTTCATATTTATTTGAATAATATAAAGTGATTTTATACAATTTTTTTTTTTAAGAAAAGGTTCAGCCTTTTCTTAAAAAAAAAAATTGTATAAAATCACAGTACAAAGTCTTGTTTTAAAACAAAAGCTTTACTTTTAACACCTCTTTTTGTATTGTACAAATCCTTGGTACTCAAGAATTAGCTTATTGTGGAACAAGTAAAACAGTTTTCAAAAGAAAACAATGGAAACTTTTTAAAAATTTTCGAACACATTTCAAAATTTGACACTGTTCTTTCTGAACATCTTCGTCGGGTTACTGCCTAAAAAAATCATGTACATTCTTTAAGAAAAAAAGTTCAAAATAAGTTTATTGGTCTTCTTTTCTGTAAAGTTATTGAGTTTATCTAGTGTGAACTTCAGAAAATTTTGTATTTTTTTATAAATCTTGACTGAACTCCTGACGTAATTTGTAAAGAATAAAACATATAGTTTGGTTTATGTATGCAGTTGCAAGAGAAGAAGTAAAGATGAGGGGACATTTTCTTGAATTTGTTCATGTCTCATAAACATCTGTGCAAGGGTTGACAGCTTGCTTGCTAGACGAGCTTTTAAAAAAAGAAACATCCTTACAAAATATTCATGGCAAATGTTTTATAATTGATCAAACATAGGGAAAAAACGTAGGTGTACAAAAAAAGATCCTTGACCTTGACTCACGAGCTTATTTTGTTCTTTTTTCTCCTTAAATAGAGTACATTAACAAATTATGTAAACATCTTGACTACTAATCCCACAAATAAAATCCGTTGGGAGCGCAGGATAGATACCCTTAATTTTTTGCGATACCACATTGATGAAGTTTATGATGCTGTCTAATCAAAAAAATTTAAGATTGATGATTTCGGAAAATGTACCGCTATGGACTATGGGAATTGCCAAGAAAATTACAGATTTTAAATTCTTCTGCTCTTTGGTCTCACGGTATGACGTCTCGTTCAAATCTAATTTAGTTAGCAAAACACTTAAGATAAAAACTGTTGCAGAGCGCTTTGAAACTAATTGAAAGTGTCAAGATTTTTTTGGAGAACATGAGATCGGAAAATGGGCTGTATAGTGTTATTATAAATGCAGTTTATAAAATCCAGGGCCATCCCGAAATAATCATTAAAAAAATTTGCCAACTACCAACTATAGATCCAACTTTGCAAACTCTAGTGCATATACTGACTAAGAAATTTCGGAAGGGGGTTAGTCACCCTCTACTCACCCCTTCAGGACGCCTCTGCATCAATCTAAAATTCTCTGATGAAGTTGTGGTTAAGCGAAAAAAGATCAAAAAGCAATTTTACTATAAAGATAAACCTGTGAAGTCGGCATTTGTTTTAAATTTCTTTTTTGTAATTTTAGATACTGCAATTTATGAACGATTTGAACAGATGGAAAATCGCAGGAAACGTTTCAAATTCCTCTAAAGCATAAAAAATAAAAAAGGTGAAACAAATGCAGTTAAAAAAAAGTGCAAAAACTTGCACTTTGTTTTGACAGTTGATGCACACAAGAGCAAAAGCTCTTGTGTGATCTCACCGTGTTTCTTGTGAGATCTCACCGTGTTGACATCACTCTAGAGTGACGTCAACAGGAATGAACTGTAAGGTGAAATTATAATCTTAGCTCCAATGTTCCTAAACAATAGATAGAACAATAGCTTCCCTAAAACGGCATTGTCATTGTCAACATTTTCAAAACTGTTTGGTTGTGCATAGTATTGAAAATTTTGCTTTTGCTCCCGGTATCAGTGGCCAGCGGAAAAAGAGGTTTTTCTAAATGATCAATTTTTAAAAAACAGTTATGTTAGTATCATTCTATTTAAAAACACATTTTTTATACTTTTAATAAATTATAATAAAGAATACAATCACTATAATAATAAGAATAAAAATAAAAATAACAAAAAAAAGAAATTTACAAGTTTAAATAAAAACTTGCTATCCAATAGAAGATCTAATGATCTTGTCGCCAGAACCATAAAACGTTATAATAAAAATAACTTAAGCCATTAATAAATATTAATAAATAAAATTGATAAAATAGCAGAACAAAAGAGTATGTTTATATAAATTTCTTATTTTTAAAAGTATTTCAAAGTATTGTCATTAAAAAGAATGATTTCTTTTAATTTCTTTTTAAAGACTGGGTAGGTAATTTTGGTAAGTCAAAATTAAGTAAGACGATTTTGATCCAGATATTAGGTGAAGGATAAGCTATAGAGAACTGCTTGAGTTTTGTTTGACAAAAGAGTTCATAGAGTAAGATATCATTTTGTAGTGTATACTTATTTTTTGTTTTCAAGGTAATAAAATCTTAAAAATGTGTAATGACTGATTGATTTTACATTGAATCATAAAACACAATATTTATATACATTCACTTCATAATTATTAAGTGTTTAATTTTTTTAAATAAAAACTTTGAGTGCGAAAGTCGATTTTTAAAACAATCTAAGCGTATTGCGTGCTTCTAACAATGATAAAGAGTACGCAACTTACCTTTGCCTATACTTCCCCAAGCAATATTTGCAAATTTGACTATGTATAAATGAGTATTAGAGTTGGAGTTCTTAATAATTACTTGACTTATATAGGACTCCTATATGTTTTGAGACTTTAGTGCAAATGTAATAAATATGCGGTTTCCATGTAAGATTCTTATCAAGATAAATGCCAAGAAAACATTTAATGAATCAACTTTGAATAAACCTTTTAATGAATAAACTTTGACAGCATAGTTTAACGTTTTATATACAACTTTTAGCAATTGATCATTTAGCCTAACCACCACTATCCACAATAAACTATAATAAACTTTTCTCTTTTAAAACAAATAATTTTATTATCCTTTAAATACGAATATATAATCACTAATATATAAATTTTAAGACTTGTGATTTCTTACATTTATCCACGCTAGAAAATAGAGTGCATTCTTCATAATTCATTATCTAAGTTTTAAAATCAAAAATTAAACAATCGTAAATGAAATATCCAAGTCAATTCTAAATTCTTTTTTAACAATAATTATCCGGAAAAGAAAGTGCGATAGAAGACAAAGTTTACTTATTTGTTGAAAGAATAAAATGCTTAATTTTTTTAGTTCTTCAAGCAAATTCATTGTATTTTGATGAACGTGAGCTTTTTACAGTTTCTCTCTACTTAACGCAGGGCCATAATACTGTAACTAGCCATTAATTTATTAATTAAAATTATCAATTACAATACACCGTGGAAGTGAATTGTTTTGAAGCCAATCAAAAATAAATTAACTTGGATATCATCAATTTTTCAAAATTTTTACTTGATAATTTTTTTTCAAAATATTATCAAGTAAATTTGGGGTTTAATCTAAACAATAATGCTAAGGATGTTGATTTAAGGTAATTAATTTATTAAATAATATCCTCGACAGCAGTATAAAACAGTATAAAAACACATAGGAAAGTATACTTCTTTGAAAGCAATCAAATCAATTAAAATATGATGTCTTTAATACGCATTCTTTTTTTTTCTTTCGATTTTTTAATATTTTATTCATTTTTTAAATTGGTTCTTCTAGAAGAGAAAGTTAAGATCCCACGTAAATTTTTTAATTTTAATGGTAGTGCACACTTTTATGAACATATTTCCAGTTAATATTTTTTAAAAATCTTTTGGCTTTAGTTTTTAAAGCAGTCTAAAGTCGTTTCTAAATTTTTTTAAAAACGTTTTTTAAAAAAATTTAGAAACGACTTTAGACTGCTTTAAATTTTTTAAAAATTTTTTAAAAACGTTAAAATTTTTTTTTTTTTAATTGAAAATTAGATTCGCAGCTATCAATGGGAGTAAAAAGTTCGTACTTTTCCATTTTTTTGGACTTTTAAACTATAAGAGACAGCGATCAACTATTTGTTTTTTATCTTTTACTTTTCTAGTAAAACTTGGGGTGGCTGTTATAAATAAGTTTACGAAACTTTTTAAAATAAATAGTATTTCATTTACAGTATGACATAATGCAAAGTAAGTAAATTGACTAAAATTAGCCCCATTATTAAAGTACCGACTAACATAATGAAAATAAGTAAATTGACTAAAATTAGTCCGATTTTTAAAGAGCCTCTATGGATGAACGACAAATATATAAACGAAAATATTTTATATTTGTCATTGCATCTATTCTACAAAACAAATATGTGAAAAAGAACTGAATCATCGGCATATTATCATCGCCATTCCTGCCCCCCCCCCCCCCTCTTCAAGCGTGACGTAATTTATGGACGTTGACATGCGCCGCTAGTTTATCATTGGAACATTTTATCAAATTGTTTTCTTTTAGCCAATAAGATTTACACTATCAAAAATAACAAATGCAATTGCCTAGTTGTTGGCTTCTTTTGGTTATATTTTTGAATAGCCACAGAATATTGCGAAATATCTGGTAACCCTGGTTTAGCATGATCACTGTTTTTAAAAAACTACTATTGACCGAAGTAGTAATCTAACGAGGGAAAAAATGAAAATCCATTTATCAAGAATATTCCCGTTGTCATCAATTGCATTCTTTCAAATATACATATGGTAAAAAAAAACATAAAAATGTAAACATGAAGTATTATAACTGAGACTGAGAATGTTTTCGTCAATATTGGTAAAAGTGCCGATTAGTATTTATAATTGTATGCACTCTAAAATTCGTGTTTGTTATTTATCTTCATTAAATTACATTAACTCACTTAACTCTTGGCCAAAGTCAAGATTTAAAATTTTAGAAGGTCAGTTTAACATCTCTCCAAATAAGTTTAATGAATTTGTTGATTTAAATGCAGCTGTAAATGAAGTATTCGAAGAAAAAAGAAAAAAAGTTTTAAATGGTGGTGGAGATTCTGCAATATTACAACATACTCAGAGAAATAAGAAAATTCTTGCACGTAAAAGAATTGAGCTTCTAGTTGATCCAAATTACCCTTTATTAGAAATTGGTATGTTTTCTGGACTCGGATTGAACTATGGAGATATATGTTGCAGTGGTCTTGTTGTTGTTATAGGGAAAATTTCAAATCAGCTTTGTATTATCAGTGCCAGTGATGCAACTGTTAAAGGTTAATTCTGAAAAATTATATCGCATTTTCCAATGTTTATTAACTTATTTTTTATCAAAACATGTTGTATAAAATGTTAATACTTGTGTTTTAACTTTAAATTTTTTTGCATATACCTTAAAAATTTGAGTTTAAAAACTTAAAATGAAATGTATATATAATTGGAGGGAAATGTTTTAATTGAATTTTTTTGTGTGTAAAGTGAAATAAATCTTATTGGTTAATACTAAATTACAAAACATCTACAATCTATAAAAAAACTTTTAGCTTTTTTAACAAAACTTCAAAGCTTTTAATTGATAGAATCTTCAAAACATTTTTCTTAATTGACAAAATTACTCAACTTGCTCAACACAAATTATTTCTCTAAAAGAAATCTCATGCACTACACTATTTTTAAATATCTTCCAACATTAACCTAATAAATATATTAAAATAAATATTTTCAAGATAACATCAAAGTTAGATTAATCCTAACACCATTTAAAATCAAAAAGTGTATTTATATAAAATATATAAAAGTATATATAAGTATAAAAGTATAATATTTTCAGTAAATAATCCTTTTCCTGAAAATCTTAAATCTGTTGTTCCTTACAAATTTTTATGTCATAGCTGCAATGTTAAGTGAAATTATACATGAGTGAATTATACATGGATAAAGCTTCTTATATATATAAACATCTCTCATCATACAAAAACGCAAGTCATCAGTGTGTGTGTGTGTGTGTGTGTGTGTGTGTGTGTGTGTGTGTGTGTGTGTGTGTGTGTGTGTGTGTGTGTGTGTATATATATATATATATATATATTTATATTAAATATATAGCCCTCAGAATTAAGGTTGGCATTCAGCAATACCTAACTGTGTATATAAGTATGTATATATTTATTTATTTAAAAGGTGGTGCTATATATCCTATTGGTGTGAAGAAGCAAACACGAATGCAGGAGATAGGAGCTGAAAACCATTTACCATGTGTGTATATTATTGATTCAGGAGGAGGTTTCTTACCACTACAAGCTGAAGTTTTCAATCCAGGTGGCAAGGTTTTCTACAATGAAGCTATTATGAATGCTTCAGGGGTGCCACAGGTATGTGATGGCAGTATATGATGAGTCATGATTTTTACAAAAGTCAAATAAACTAAATATTTTATACAAATTTATTTAAAAAGTATTGTTATATAAGTATTTTATTGATTTATATTAGTGGTTCCCAAGCTTATTTGGCCTACTGCCCCTTTTTTAAAAAAATAATTTCTTAGTGTCCCTTTCTTAAAGAGAACAAACAGAAAGATATATGTATCTGTTTTTGCCTGTGTATTCATAAAAATATTGTAGTGAAATATGTTGTAAATAAGACATTAAAATTACTGAAAATTAATACAATTAAGGTTAACATTAAGGTAAAAAATACAAATAAAATTAAAATTATCTTAATGATAACAATGTACTTCTATCAATGTCCTAATTCTTCTATTTTTGTAAGCAGTATTCTAAATCACTGGCATTAGCTATTTGTAGTTCTTTTTTTGTTGTAATATATTTGTGATATCACTGAACTTCTACTAAATAAGGAAATTCTACTAAAAAATGATGAAAGAAATGCAATTAAAAACTTTTCTGTTACAGACATTAATCCATGATGAGCTGTATGAATCTTTTTTATTGAACTTCTATTTGATTTGAATGGTTATAGTTTTCATCATTATTAATACAAAGTTGACTGAACATTTAAATCATCTAATCTTCTCTCCTTTTTTATGTTTTAACCAGTTCTTTATTTTAATTAATCCCCCCCCCCCTCTCCAAGTCTACAATAGGCTACTACTTACCTCTGGATTGTTCCAGCACCCCTGGGCCATTGTCAACTTTGGGAACCACTAATAATATATATATATATATATATATATATATATATATATATATATATATATATATATATATATATATACACAAATAGTATTGCGAACTAAGGTAAGCAATCTGACGTCATACTGAAATAGCCTGCTGCTGGGGGGTTCAGTTCATACATTGACTGACAAATAGCCTGACTCGCAGTAGAGTGCTGCTAAATCGACTGAGGGTTTGGGATGGGGCAGCAATCGTTTAATTCATCATTCTTCTTTTTCGAAAAAAACGGTATAGCGTAAGGTAAGCAGAAAAAGTGAGCAAATGCTTACCAAAACACGCTTTAGTAAGTGTGTGTATATATATATATATATATATATATATATATATATATATATATATATATATATATATATATATATATATATATATATATATATATATATATATATAGGGATTCTTCCTGGGATTTTTTCGGGAAAAATAATAATCTAAATTCCCGTAGTCCCGTGAAAATTTTTTCGGGATCTCGGGATTTTCGAACATACATTTTATAACTATCCAGCCAAAATCTAAATTGTTTTGTTATCCGGACCATAAGAAATAATGTTTATTTATAGTTTTTACGTATTATAATTTATGAAAGCAAATTAGAAATTTAAAAAAAATGCCTTTAAATCCAAAAACTTCTAAAGTTTAAAGTTATTTTGATTCTAAAAATTGAAACTACTCATAAAAAAATGTTTAACGTAAGTCTTTTAACAGATGTAGTCTGCATTACAACTGATGGTGCTAGTGTTATGGAAAAACTAGGAATTATTTCTCCTTCCGAATATCAACTTTGTTTTGCACATACAATACATTTAGCTGTAGTTGATTTAATTTATAAATATAAAGTTAAAAGTAATAATTAGAGTACTAAGAGTACAGAGGACAAAGATATTGAAGATGATGGTTTTGATGGTGATGATGATGATGATGATGATGATGATGATGATGATGATGATGATGATGATGATGATGATAATGTTGATGATAATGATGTTGGTGATAATGAGGAGGAGGAGGAGGGAAAAAATGATACTAGTCACCAAGTTCAGGATCTTGTTCCTGAGCTTCATAAGGTTATGGCTAAAGTTTGAAAAATTGATGTAACTTTTAAAAGATCTCCTTTGAAAATGGATTCTTTAAAACGTTATTCTAAAAATGAATTTGGACAAGAGCTACTGCTAATTTTGGATTCAAAACTCGTTGGAACTTAATGTTGTTAATGATTCAAAAATTCATTAAAATTAAAAAAGCAGTTTTTAAATCTCTGGTTAATTTTAGTTTAGAAAGTCTAATGTTATCTGATAATGAAGTTACAATAATTGAAAATTTGTCAAAATGTCTAGAACCTATTGTCTTAGGATCTGAAATGATTAGAAGGAAAGCAACATTATTAACAGCTGACGAAACATTAAAATTTATGGTTAAAGAACTTGATGTTCAAGTTTACTACCTAGCAAAGGATCTTAAAAATGCTTTAATTGAAAGAATACGTCAAAAATGAAAAAACGATCTTGTTGGTTTATTAAGATTTTTAGATAATCCACAATCTCTAAAAAATGATATGGATGGTGACTTATTTTGCATCCCGTCTAAAACCGCTATGATTAATTTAGCTATTGAAATATCTGTTCGACTTTTTCCAATAATTGAAAATATAGCAATAGAAATAGACCGCGATAGCAAAGTTAACAATAATTTTAATATAAATCATGGCATCCGAATCTATGGCTGCTAGATTAGAAAAATTTGTAAAAAAAAAGGATGACTTTGAAGTTAAGTGTAATAAACCAACTATTTGAACCAACTCTTGAAGTTAAGTGTAATAAACCAACTGCCAAGAATTTAACTTGTTTGAAGCGACAAATAAAAGATCGCATAGTTTAGGTATGCTTTATAATGAGCTTTTAACTATTCGTCGATCCAGTGTTGAGACTGAAAGGGTGTTTAGTTCAACTGGATTTTTATTTACAAATTTGAGAAATAGATTAACAGACAGTCATCTTAATGCACTGGTGTTTCTAAGAAGTCACTTTGAAAATAGTTAAAAAAATAAAGAGAAAATAGAAAAGTGTTGTGTTATTTAATTTTCCTTAAAAAAAAAAAGTTTTCCCGCTATCCCGGGAACAGAAAAAGTCTTAATATATTTCCCGCTAAAAAAAACACTTAATATATTTCCCGCTATCCCGGGAACAGAAAAAGTCCAGGAAACCGCAATCCCTATATATATATATATCAGGCTTTCCCAGGAAAGGCGTGCAGTCGCACGCCTTTCCTGGGAAATGCGTGCGGAAATGTCCACGCATTTATTCTATGCGTGGGAAATGTCCACGCATAGAATAAATTTTTCAGAAAACATGACCGCGACAATATTTCGTGGGAAAGCGAAACT